TTTTCTCCATGAGTATGCGTATGTAGCCCATTTTTCTCCATGAGTATAAGACTGATTTCATATTTCGCCGTACAAAGTTCCAGTATTCTACTATGAACACTTCCAGAGATTTGCAGTACGAAAAAATCGGTTTGTATGGGAGGTGCCACGCCCCCTTTATATATCGAAATTTTTTTAGCCTATAACCATCCTTGGGACATAAAAAAAGGGCTTTCAAAATATATATTAGTATAGAAGATTGGTATGGATCTAAATGGTTTTGAATATCACAATATGAGTGCCAGGCGAAAGAGGTTTAAAACGGTTGCCAACAGTTAAAAAGGTTAAATTCAAACTATTCAATAATTTAAATGAATTATTACAATATGGGTACCAATTGAAATGGTTTTTAAAGGGCTTCATTTCAAAACCACATGTAAGAGGTTTCCATCTGTTTAAAATCTCAAATGGAGTTCAGGGGATAAGTTAATTGAAAAAGTATGACAATTGAGAAGTTTAAGAGAGGCCCCTATTATAAGTTGCATTCGATTTTCGACTGTGGTCTAAAGTGCTGAGCGAACGAATTTTCATTTGGTATTATGGCGCTCATTCGATGAAGAATAGCGCTATTGTGAATTTCGCTCGTTTAGGTTGTTCACAATAGTATATTTTTCACCGCTGAGAAGCTTTGTTTACAAATCGAGCAAACTAAATAGTGTGCTTATACATATGTACGTATGTAAATTTGTGCAAACTAAAATGAAACAAAAAAGAAAGCGAGTTTATAAAAACGTGGTAAAAAAATAAAATTTAATTAGTACAACGGAGTTCTGATTGGACGATTCGTCAGAGGATGAGAGCTTAGAAAACTGGCCAGGAGCAGAAAACGTTTAAGAGAGCTTAAGTGCATTTAAGAAATTGTATGATGCAAATCTATTATTAAAATATATTAAAACTATAAACAGTTTCTTGATTTTGTTCCAGAGATCGTGCCAACAGCGTATTGGGATTTTCTTTCATAAGTAAAACCAGACTTTCGAGCTTGTGTTTAGTATTCACAACGTTAGAACTCCATGAAATTAATGAAAATTGTTTAAAATTAGTGTTTAGAAAACTAAAGCAAAATCATACATTTTTCAGAATTTTCTAACACTTCGATACACCAACGAAAGCAAAATTCTGTTCGACAGAAAATTCGATACTCAACGAAAATTTCGACACGCTTGCATAGCTCATAATACGAATTTCACTTTTGATCTTCGATAGCCAGCGAAGATCGAAAATCGAATACAACTCATAATAAGGGCCAAAGTTTTAGTTTGAAAATATTTT